TAGTTACATGTACATGCATTATGATTTTATAAAGTAAATGATAAATGATATTGATTAAAAATCTTTTTTATTTTCTTAGTAGATTTACAAAACAAAAATTCTTGAATTGATAGAAAATAATGATCCGATAGTCACATCAAAATGTAAATAAAAGCCGTATAGCACATTATTTGGTGCTTATACGTGTATTTTTCATGGCGATATCTAGTTTTGAATGATGAGACAGATTTAATTTTATTTACGCCTTTTCTGGAAGAACCCTATATACTATTAGAGTAAATTTCGTTTTTTAATTGTCAAAACAACAAGAAATTTCGAAACACATCGTTTTAAAATCAATTTACATGAAAAGAATAAATCATTTATACATGCGTCTTGTAGGGAAAAAAAGAAAAAAAAAATATTGTAGATTTAAGCTTTTTAAATCTTATTGTTTTAAATATATTGTACTAAGTTTCTAGATAGAAAATTTACAAGGATATTAAATTTCTGACACATAAAAAAGGTGCCCGTCATTGATAATTGTCATCCCGATAGGATATGTGTAATTAATCAGTTTGCCCCTAAAATCCGCACAACTTGCATAGAATATATAAAAGATATACAAAATATATATACACCGCAGATCCTCGACAAAGCAGGTAAACCGATTGTTCTACCAATTGCTACAAATTGATTGATTTTAATTCCGTTCTAAACAACTAAAAGACGTAGCATAATTGATAAGGTCACGGACGGTCAATCAGGAGACAAGGGATTGATCCTCCACGATTTTTTTCTTGCATTATTTTTTTCCCCATTTTTTATTTGAAATTACATAAATTCAATGCTATTATAATAGGGAAAAGTGTAACAAAATTAGTTTAAACCAGGGTATACGGAAAAGTAGATCCGTAAAACCGATAAACATCTTTCAATTTAAAAATAAGATTTATATAATTCCTTTATAGTAGATAACTGGATTATTTTGCCTTATTACTTCAAATAAATCCTTTAAAAATAGTCCATAAATAAGAAGTCCCTTTTTTCACAAAATGGTTGACATTCCACATAAAATCAAATGTGTCGTCACAGAGGTCGACAGTTAAAACCACTTGTTCGTTAATGAGCAGTTAATTAAGTGAACTGTCAACTCGTCGACCTGTCTACATGTCGACTTGTCAACCCGACTTCCCCTTAGCCAGTCGACTTGTCAACGTGTCGACTTGTAAAACAGTCGACATGTCAACCGGACTACCCTTTAGCCAGTCGACATGTCATCCCGTCAACCTGTCCATCTGTCGACCTGTCAACCAGTGCACCTGTCAATCAGTCGACGTGTCAACTCGTCGACCTGACAGCCGGTCGACCTGTCAACCCGTCGACGTGTCTATCCGTCGACTTGTCTACCAGTCGACCTGTTAATCAGAAGACCTCCAAACCGTCCACCTGTTAACCCCTCCTCCCTTACAACTGCTGGGGAAATAATCTTCTAATTTCCTCTTTCATTAATCAGCGATGTGGATTATGTCGATTTTAGCGTATGAAAAAAAATCAGATAGTCTTTTATCAAACAACGGGCATTTATTAAAATTTGCGGGAAAGGATCTTTTCAATGACCTTTCAGTGACAATTCAGTTACCATTCCGTCGACTGAATGGTGGATTTTCATCCTTTGTTTCTTAAATGCAAATCAAGTATATATGAAATAATAGAAGGATATACTGACTAGAAATACAATTGCGAGTTATAAAAGTTAAAGTTTTTCGTAATAACGGGAATCTGGTCAAGGTCAAAAGATCAAGGGAATTGGTGTCTAATGAAAGTTCTTGCCACAAAAAATACAAATGTGAAGTATAAAAGTCCTAGCCCTTACCCTTCAAAAGGTTAAGGTTAAAAATCAAAAGAAGTAGGTCAAGTCAAGCTCAAAGTGTCATGGGTCTTGTTATCAAATGAAACATCTTGTACAGTATGAAACACTAGCACCAAGCCATGAAAAGGTATCGTCAAGGTTTGCATTTTAAAAGTAGCCTAAACTCCAAGGTTAATATCAAATGGCTAATGTTCTTGGTATGGGTCCTTACACAAGGATAACAAATTTGAAATGTAAGATTACTAGCCCTTAGCGTTCAAATGTTTTGGCCACGATTTTTTGCATAAGTACAAAAATCTTCAAGGTCATAAGGTCAAGGTAATTTGGTATCCAATGAAAAGTCATTTCACAATTAATACATATGCAAAGTATGGAAGTCCATTCCCTAATCGTTCAGAAGTTATAGCAAAAGTTAAAAATGTAAAGAAGTAGGTCAAACTCTAAGGTCATGTGAAAGGGCCAAAGTTCTTGGTATAAAATGAAAGGTCATCTCACAAGGATTAAATGTGTAAAGTATACATTGTACAAACACTAGCTCTAACCCTTTAAAAGTTATGGTCAAGGTTTACTTGTTAAAAGAATGTCATACTCAAAGATCAAGGTCAAAGGTTCAAATTATTTGGTATCCAATGAAGGGTCTTCTCACAAGAATTACATATGCAAAATATAAAAGCCCTGTCCCTTACCCTTCAGAAGTTATGGCCAACGTTGAAGAGTTTTCATAAATACGGAGATCTCCGAAGTCAGGGTGAAAAGGTCAAGATTGTTGCTATCCATTAGAAGGTTTTGTCACAAAAATACATTTGTGAGGTTTAAATGCCCTGGTATTTACTGTTCAAAAGGTATGGCCAAAGTAAAAGTTTCAAATTTTTGTGTAAAAAGTGGTCAAACTCCAAGGTCAAGGTCAAAAGCTCAAAATATGATCTTTAAACATGGAATACACATTTTAATATGAAAGTCGTAGCTCTTCTAAATCTACTAAAGGGCAAGGTTAAAGTTTCTTGGGGACAAACAGACAGAGAGGAAGACAGACAGCTAGACAGACAGTCAGACAAACAAACAACAACAAAAAAAAAAACAGAAAGAAGGACGGACACGGCAAAAGCTACATGCATATACCACCGAAACTTCGTAATCGGGGGCATAAAATCAATTTTAGTTATATCTATATATGTACGAGGGTTGTCCGTAAAGTTCGTGGACAAGCAAAAATTTAATGAAAGTTGAATCATTGATATTAATTATTAGCAATCTAATCCTTTAAATATGAATTGAAAAATATGAAGTTTAATGCAATTTCAATTGTTTAATCATAATTATGACTTCATAATTTGAAATGAAAAATGAATTCAATGAAAATAATAGTTTATATATTTTATCAATGTTTGTCAGTAATTATTAATGTTGTACACGAACTTCACGGACAACCCTCGTATATATTTGGTTTATCACATTTGATAATATGACGCCAAATATAAAAGATATGGGTACCGTGACATTACTTTTGGATCAACCCTTGTACTATAGTGGTATACGTGTTGGCCATCAAAACTTAGAAATAAGGAAACTTAATGTCTATGCACCCCTTAATCTCACGTACCAGTAATCTGCATTGTTATTGATAAACAGTCAATGTTATTTAAACAGTCCATAGAAGGTTCAACAGTTATCAGGGGGAGACTTTCTTATTTTGTCCCAATTTTTATGCCCCCGTAAGCAAAGTTTTGGGAATATATAGATTTTTTCGTGTTCGTCTGTCTGTCTGTCCAGCGGCCTGACCGTCTGTCTCTCTGTTTCCGAAAAAAATTTAAGCTTGCCAATAACTTTTGATTTAGTGGAGCTCTGACTTTCATATTTCAGATGCATATTCCTTGTGACAAGTCCCTTCTTTGGGTATCACCAAATTTGACCTTTTGACCTTGACCTTGGAGTTTGTCCCATTTTAATACAAAAATTCCAATCTTTTATTTGTCCATATCTTTTGAACAGTATATACTTTATAAAGTAGATGAATTTAATACTTCATACATGAATATTTTGGTAGCAAGGCATTTCATTGAGTACAAAATTTTTTTACCTTTTGACCTAAGCACTAATCTAAGAAAATTGAAGTCAAGGTGAAAGTAAAGGTCAAGGTAAAAAAAAGCTGATGTAGTTGACTAGCTCTCATCAGTATGTATTAGCATATGAAGTTTGATGAAAATATCTTAAATGGTATCTTTAAAATTGAGCTAAACATGAAATAAAGAAAATTGAGATCAAGTTCATTGGAAAGCTCAAGGTCAAAAATGGTGATGTAGTTGAAAAGCTCTCATCTGTATGTATCAACATGTGAAGTTTGATAATACTATCTTTATTGGTATGTATAAAAGTTTAAAAATGAGCTAAATACTAATTTGAGAAAAGTTAGTTCAAGGTCAAAGGAAATGTCAAGGTCAAAAATAATTAATGGATTTAAATGGCTCTTGTCAACATATATATACCAGCATATGAAGATTGATGAAAATATCTAGGATAATTTTTTTAAACTGAGCTTTGAACTGAGCTAAAGTGTGATAGAATGTAGCGGGACCGAGCGTGCAGTCCTTTTTGCTATTTTAAAATCCTCCTTAGAATTAATTAAATTCCTCCTTTGGTAGCGTAATAAAAATTCCAGTTATAAGTTTACGAGTTTATTACATGTTTTAATAAATAATCACAATCTCATTATGTACAAGTAATCCAAAATATAAGTTCACAAATCGTTAATCCACTTAAACTCTGTCTATCACTGACTGTCTCTATCTCTCCTATCTAACCCCAAGCACGTGTGCGTGCACGCCCTATATATACATGTGAGGGGCAGCTCCGGTGGAGCTGCCAATACACAGCAGCTACCGGGGAGCTGCCGCTCTGCGGTCGATTACATAATATAAACAAATACTTTACAACTCCCCCCGGCTAAGATTTTGACCCCGTTCAAAATAAATTATCGAAACAATACAAACATAGTATCATACAAAATAAATATTTACATACAGTTAAGAATCAAGAAATTAGTTTAATTAACTGTTAAAAAGTTCAAGTTTTTAACAGCAGTCACTGGTTGAAATCTCCGTAGACGTTTCTGTCTCGGTGGCACTGGAAATGAATCTAAACTTATAATTTCCTAGGATTCGTCCTCAGTCTGCTGCTTTTCAATTATTTCCTCATCTGATGAAATGTCCTCAAGTTCGGGCGCATACACCGGCTGTGGTTGGACATTTGTTGCGACATCAAGCGATTCCTCGTCAGACGATATATCTTCATACAACGGGACGTAGACTGCTTTCTGATTTTTCTTCAGATCTTCTCTGCGTAATTCTTTACTACTCGCCATTGTCGTTTCACTTTGTCCATGCACACGTTTCAAATGTTTCTTTAAATTAAATTTCCTGGAAAATGGTCTTCCACAAAAGTCACAGTAAAATATACTAACACATTCACTATGAATTTCCTTACAAAGTTGTTTAAGCGTTTTTCTATTCGTAAAAACTTGTCCACATATATCACAAAGCATCTGTATTCTTCTACATCCAAAAATGGTATGATCAGTCTCTGAATCGGCACGGCACTTTTATAAGGCGCCCGCCCCTGGTCCGCGTCGAGTGTCTGTCTGGAGTTCGGGTATTGCGCATCTGACCTCTGTCGCGGTCTTCCCCTGCTGTAGCGCGGTCACTATCGGCGGCGTCCTTTGAACTTTGTTTTTTTCAATTTTGGCGATTTCTTGGAGTCCTCCTCATTAGAATCCTTTTGTTTCGGCACAGGGATATTATTAGGTTCTACAATCACTTGATCTTTAGTGATTTTCACAGTTTGATTCACCAATTTCTGTACATTGTGTTGTATTGTTTTTCTTGTGCGAAATGGCTTTAAATTGTCCGCATGCACAATCTTTGGTTTTGACGTTTTTGAGTGCTGAATTTGAAATAGGATATTACTTAGGCGTTTCAGAACAACCCAAGGGCCAATCCAATTTCGGGACAGTTTCGTTTTTGTTCCCTTCTTCTGTTTAGGTTGGTAAAGTCGTACTACGCCGCCCACTTCATAATTCTTCTCAATAATGTTCTTGTTATATTGTTTTCTTTGCGTTTCTATCGAAGATCGCGTTGTCTCCATGGCTAAATCATGCGCTTTTTCCATACTTTCACACAATTTTGTCACATATTCCGTATGACACTTTATATCCTCATTTTGAAAATCACTAAAATCACATAACACAGACACTGGAATTGTCATTTCACATCCAAATATCATACGATATGGCGTTATTCCTGTGGTTTCGTGTACCGAAGTGTTGTACGCCATACTTACAGCATCTATGTATTTGTCCAAGTTCGTTTGCGGTAAGACACGAACTTTGATAACATTTCTTTGATGGTCCGATTGATTCTTTCTACCATCCCGTCTGATCTTGGATGGAAGGCTGTTGTTCGAGTTTTTGAGATACACATAATTTCACAGAGTTGGGAAAATAACTGGCTCTCGAATTGACTTCCCTGATCCGTGTGAATTTCTAATGGACATCCGTAACGTTTTATCCATCCCCGAAATATAGCGTCCGCTAACTTTTCATGAAATGCCTCTTCTTTTTCTGTGGATTTTTCTTTTCCTCACAAATATGACACGATTTGACATAGTCACTGATATCACGATGAAAGTTAGGCCAATAATATGAACTTAAATCCGCTCTTTTCTTGGTTCTAATAATTCGTTGATGTCCAGAAATCGGCAAATCATGGAAATGCCACAACAATGCAATTCTCAGTGATTTAGGTGTACAGATCCGTAAACTTATTGAATCATCCTGTATCCACTTGATACACAACACGCCCTCATGTATGGTGAGTAGTTTCCATCGTCCATACCAGAATCGACTCTCAGGGGGCATATGAAATAAAGCGTCAAATTTAGGCTTGTCTTTGCTCCCATATTTTTCAATCCAACTTAGAACAAATCCGATAACTTTGTCTCCCATCTGACTTTTTCGAAAACCAGAATATGTTAAGTCTACATCGGGCTCAGGTTGCGGCTTTGCTCGTCTTGGTCTATTTTCTGTTCGTCCTCTTCCTGTTGCCTGATTGTTGTCACTTTCATTTGTGTTAAACAAATAATGAATATCACATATAGCTTGGTCAATACACAAATCTGTCTCACACTGGTGTTTGCAATGTGACTTTCCGGGGCTCCGTCGTATTCATCGCCTAATTTTCTTTTGCATTGTCTGCAAACGGTCTCATCCGAAGTTACAGTGATTCTTGATAAACCGTCTGCATTAGAATGTCGTTTCCCTGCACGATGAACAATTTTAAAATCAAGCGGTCCTATTTGCTGTAGCCATCTGCATATCTGTCCGTCTAGCTCTTTGAATCTGTGTAACCAAGTGAGAGATCCATGATCTGTGCGTAACACGAATTCCTTTCCCAACAGGTAATGTTTAAAGTATTTCATAAAATAAACTACGGCGAGCATTTCTTTTCGTGTAACACAATAATTTCTCTCCGCTGTAGTTAACAAACGACTCCCGTAAGCTATCACTTTTTCACCATGTTCCTGAATTTGGGATAGCACACAACCAATAGCACTTTTACTTGCATCTGTATCAAGAATAAAAATGACCAGCATTTGGATCTGGATATCCAAGAATTGGAGCACTCACAAGTTTTTCTTTCAGTGTATGAAACGCATGATCACATTCATCTGTCCATTCCCATTTTGTTTCTTTGCTTGTAAGCGTATGTAAGCATCTTGCTATTTTTGCAAAATCTTTAATGAATTTCCTATAATAGGACACTAATCCTAGAAAACTTCTTAACTCGCTCACATTTGTTGGTCTTGCAGCATTTCTAATTGCTTCTGTTTTTACAAGATCTGTTTTTATTCCGAATTACACATTTTATTTGAATCACTTGATAAAAAGTATTAATCCAAACACATTCTCACAATCACGGAGAAGAAAATAATAATAATCCAATGGAAATTAAATCCTTTCTTTTAACTATGGAATAACATGAATAACATCCCACCGCTGTGCCACCAGTTGTAGCTGGACCGAGCGTGCGGTCCTTTTTGCTATTTTAAAATCCTCCTTAGAATTAATTAAATTCCTCCTTTGGTAGCGTAATAAAAATTCTAGTTATAAGTTTACGAGTTTATTACATGTTTTTATGAATAATCGCAATCACATTATGTACAAGTAATCCAAAATATAAGTTCACAAATCGTTAATCCACTTAAACTCTGTCTATCACTGACTGTCTCTATCTCTCCTATCTAACCCCAAGCACGCGTGCGTGCACGCCCTATATATACATGTGAGGGGCAGCTCCGGTGGAGCTGCCAATACACAGCAGCTACCGGGGAGCTGCCGCTCTGCGGTCGATTACATAATATAAACAAATACTTTACAACTATGACAGAAGGACGGGTAGAAGACGGACATGACAAACACTACATGCCCCGGCCATATACATGGTGGGTCATAACTTAAAAATTAAAGTAGACTTTTAATCTTTGTTTTAATTTAACTCATATATGATATATGAGTTTTTCTTTCAGGCTAGAGATGCATTGATTGCTTAAGTAACTAAATATATAATATAAATAATAGTATCTGCATAGTTTTTGGACCTGCCTTAATGTATATATCATTATACTAACAGTGCTAAGAACCTATCATACGATATTTTATATCGTATGATAGGTTCTGGGCACTGTTAGGTATAACTCTCCGCCAAAAGGGGTTATAATTTATATAATTTAAGGCTTAATTTTATTTTTACAATTCTGAATAAAGAGAAAAAATATAAATTTTTGTATATCAAAAATAATAAAGGCCTTTAAACTGTTGAAGATATATGGACCAATGAGTGTTTGTTGTACGTTATGGAGCAGTGGATTGGTTCCGACAATGCCGGGCAACCAGTTTGGAATCTGCGCACTAAATCACCCAAAACGAGGCTACAACAGTTCCTTGGCATCAGGGTAAAGATGGATATTGGCAAAATTCAGACCAAGAACTTATATATTTCACGGAATTGTCCTGATAAATGAATATGTGACAGTCTTCACGAATCATGGAAAATGCACAACTCATCTAAAATAAGTTAAAATTATTAAAATAATAAACTGATTCATTATTTTGTTGTAGACTCTGCGTATTTGCGTCAGGAATCGTAGGAATGTTCTCCAGCCTGCGGTATGGTTTCCTCTTCTAGACGCCAATGCTGAGAATGGATGCATGCAGGTAGAGATAAAGCGACTATCCTTCATAGAGAATCATTTATAAGTACACAACTTATAGCATATTAAGGAATTTTCTAATTCAGATTGCACACAGAGGTCACAAGACCTTGTATCTCATGTTGGAGGAAATGGCCAAAACATTAGGTTAAGTCTGATTCCATCAGGCAATATTGCTTTTGATAAATGACCAACATATATTTAGTAAGCTATGACAGAATCTGTTAAAATATTGAGATTTTTGTTTCAACAGAAGTAGATTTGGACAAAGACATCATAACATGTCCAGTTTTCTTACGGTGGAACATTACTGTTGAACAATATGATATACGGAAGGCAAATCGCTTCTATTTCATAATGGTCAGTTTGTTTCTCTTTACTCAAAATGGATAAGTGCTATTTTACATAAAAGTTAAACTTCATAAAATATATATACTGAAACGCAACACCCTACTTCAGGGGGAATAATTATGTCAAGTAAAGAATTTTGTACCTTTAAATTATGATATCTTCAATTTGGTAAATATCGGTAATTTAACGGTTGAAAGATTTTCATACCTTAACCGGAAGTCAAGTTTGAGCCTGCTTACCGGAAATCAAAAATTGCATGTTTAACAAAACATTTGGCAATGATATGGAGTTTTAAGGGTTTGTACTGTTCATCATAAGTAATGCAGCACTATTTCAAAAAATAGATTCTCCTTTAGTTTCCCGTAACGATGCAAAGGCTTCTTGAAAATGGCTTAATTACACATTTCCATTGCTCTAGCTGGAAAATTTCAAAAGTAAAGTGATGGGGAGTTGCTGATGCAAAACATCACTACATTACACCTCAACAGGATCTTACGTATCATATGCATTAATGACAGTCCTTGGACCGGAAGTCCAAGGGTTAATACACTGCGCTAAGTTAGAGAAAATTCGACCTAATCATCTGAAAAACAGGCATTTAAAAATGGCAAAGAACAATTCCTTCGCTGAGATCTCAATATTGATGAACCTACTGTATCGTAGAAATTAAGCTGCAAGTGTTGTTTAGGGCAGACTTGCACGTTTTAATTGAATGGCTGCGAGGGGGGGGGGGGTTAACAGGCATATGCTACTTAGTAAAGTAAAAAGATATACATTTAACATTTTTTATCAAATCTCTGATGTTCTGAAAAGCGAGTTTATCCTTACTGTATTCACTTTTGGAAATCGTTAGATAAAAAATTAAAACATTTGTAGATTGATGCTTGTTGCGTTTTTGTTTTTTTTTTGCGTGTCAGTAGACAAGTAGGGCAAATACACATAATCTATTGGTTGAATATTTAGCCTGCCGAATATGTCTGAGCAGATCTGTTGGAGTCTTGATCTCCGTTGGCAAATACCGGATCATCCCTACAGATTTTAAGGCTATAAAGAACCACCTAGAATGATGAAAAGACTTCATTTCATGTTAAATCACAAATATTTATGGCTTACGTGTACAATGATTCATTTGAATAATTAAGTACTAGTAACAACTAAATTGTTGATGATTTTTTTTTTTATCAAAATCATCCTGTTTTTCAATCTGATGTAATTTTTTGCTCCACAATTATACTTAAGAAATTTGCATACTCTTTGTCTGGAGTTCAATATTTATATTAGTCTAAGAATTATTACTGTTCAAATTCTAGAGGTACTGTGAGCAATGTACATTGTGTTGACTCAATCTAATAAAAAAATCTTATGTACGTTGCATAGGATTTCAAAATACATGCATGCAATATACCAAATGTGTAACTGGAATATTTCATATACATAGGGGGGTTAGCTTTTCCTCCTTTCCATACTTGTTCTGACTATAGATTTTTCCTATAGTAAACTGTCCTTTAGATGCTGGTTCGCCCCAACTAATAATTGATTGTAAGGTCTAGCAAAATGAATTTATTCTGTACAGGATAAAGGAATCCACTTTCAATCAATTATGACACTATGTAGAAAGTAGAGGAAGTTAATAATACGAAGTTTATAAAGCATGTCCGCCCTGTCTTCCTTACACTAATATACCAGTACATTAGTGTCAAATAAATACATATTCTAATATTGAAGCATTGAAATTCAATGGAATACTGAGTTAACGCGCTGTATGATAATTTGTCGGCACTACCAGGTGTGTTATAAGACCGTAGACATCCTAAAATACATAATGTATGAATTAATGCATAAATTTACATTTTCGTATTTTCCCTCTTCAAAAATCTTTATTATAGACCCACCGCTTGAAAAGCGGGAGAGTATATAGTAATCAGGATATCTGCATGTCCGTTCGTCCGTCCCTCTGTCTTTAATTCCGTCTGTTATGCTTTGGGTACACGTATCCGCAACTCCTCTTATGTCAGTGTATGGTATCTAAGGTGACTTTCAGATTATCTCTATTACACATTGCCATTCTGCACCTTCTATTTTACTTTTTAATTAGATACACATTTTGGGTTTCCCATGGCAAAACATGGGCACTGCTATTTTATTCCATATGGAAGGCTGGGTATCTTTTAGTGAGCTTATTGTTCACAATACCTCTTTTAAATTATTTATTAGACTGATTAAAAATGTATATTTTGGTGTTCTAGAGTATTGATTATGAATATATTTCTTCTGTGTATTCTACGTGCGGGGAAAAGGTTTCGCGTGAATTATAGAAATTCGAATATCTCGGCTTTTAATGGATTTTATATTGAAAATTACACTGATTGTTAATATAAAACTTTTTTATTTATGCATTCATTTTTTCTTGAAGTTTTAAAGACGGACATTGTCCTTCAATTTCACGAAAGTGCTGAATACGTAATAACCATTTAATCGGCTCATGATGAAATGCCAAATACACTTACCATTACGTTAATTACAACAGCAATAAAAACAAGAGCCATTATAGCATTGTTAAGTCTGTTATAACGTTTTTTGTCCTCTATAGCTTCTTCAATGTTCGCCAAAGCTAAAAGTAAAAACCCAACAGTGATCTGCACTAGAAAAGTCAGTATCAGCAAAACAAGCAAGATATGGAAGTACTGGTATGACACCCCTCGGTCAAATAGGGACTTGAGCTGCGATGCATTGGCCACCAACAAACCAATATCTAGAAGGCCTTCTGCCACTGTTTTCTTCCGTTCGTGCACACTTGTGCTCTTTTTTGTTATATTCTGAAAAAAAAATGATAATATTATTTTTTTCTGTCTTTAATAACAACTGTGTTGTCTCTACTAACAGATATGTTAATTTGGCATTTTTTGTTTGTCGCTGATACCTAGGGGAGTCTGGAAAAAAGAAAGCCACCTTCCCCTTCATCCTGGCTTACTATTTTGACATCATATATTGTAAAATACGAAATATGATAATGTACGGTTCTACCCAATCATGTTATTCCTGCCTATTTACGAAAATAGAAAGATAACAAACAACATAATCAACTCAAAATGTCCCCTGGAAAAAGACACCTTTACATGTACATATATTGGCAACTGAACAAACAAATACTTCAGAACTCATTGAAAAAAGGAACAAAGTGCTTTGGAGGAGTAAGCATCCCCTGCAAATTGGTCACACCTATTGTATGGTCTTTATCATGATCGAGTTAAATTTGAAAAATCCGGAGATAATTTAATGTAAATATAACCGCTTAAAAATTAAGTGAAAATTGTAAGTCTGAGTCAACATTAAACGTAATGATCAATCAATTGTACATGATTGTATACTGTGGAATCACAAATTTTCATGTTGGTTTGATTTTCGTTGTTTTCGAAGTATGAAGAGACCAACGAATTCATGTCCACCACGAAATGTAAAATGTTACAAACATAACCAATCACCAATTTTACATCCACGAAATCAAATCCCCACGAACCAAGAGTTTTTACTCAAACCACGAAAATTTGACCCCACGATAATATGTGATTTTACAGATATGTGTTTTTGCTATCGTTGGAATATCTGATTTCTTTTCTGAATAGTACATACTTCATCCCCACAATAAAATGGTTTTCTATATGAACCGGTCACATTTATTGGTAATTTGGGAATATAAAAATAATAATAATAAAAAAAAACCTGATATTAAGAAGAGGTCTTACCAGTACCGTATAGTTGCCATTTTCTGTAGATTCGCCGACTTCTCCGACTTTTTCGACTTCTTCGACTTCTCTCTCAGACATTGTCACTTGTTTGTTTATGACGGTAGACAATGTTCTATGTTCTACTTCACTAGGATATTAGAAGGACATTAAGGTTAATTAATTATATCACAATGGCACATCAATAAACAATGTAGTCTCACTAAAACAGGATGTCATAGCTTGACAAAAGGTGTTATATGTTGTCATGCAGACATTGTGCAAGTTTTGAATTATAACAACGTAGTATAACTAAACAGTCATTTAAAATTCTAATCAGCATAGAAGATTGTCATCCACTCACAAATCCAGGTTCTTTAAGCATAAAATAAGGAAAACTACTTCGTCATTCCAAAACAAAAAGAGAGAAAAGTGTCTTTTACATTTAAAATGTTGTCTATCATGAATTCCGGAAACAAACAGAGCTAATATTTGCCTTCGACTGCCAGTATGGTTTTAACATAAAACAAACTATTTTCTGTTATTATTAAGATATTACTAGTAATTAAATGTAATAAAAGAGAATAATATTTGTTAGACTAGAAAACCAAAGTAAATTTTAACTAAAAATTCACTTTCAGCAAAATTTTCTTCAGTGTAGTAACATATTGTACACTTTAATGCAAATGATAGTAAGAATTGACATTTTCTATTTTAAGTATCAAAACAGTTTCCATTGTAAATCAAACGTATTACTAAAGTAATGCAAGGTATTGTTTTTTTTACTATAAAAGTTAAACTAAAAATATGTCCTTTTTCAAAAATTTAGAGTACATTCTGTATGTATATATTAGATACTTAACAGATTAGTTATATTTCTAGCAAAGATAGTCAAATAGTAATGTTGGGATTTAAATACAGTATCTCAGTTCTTAAAAATCTCCAAAAAAAATTTTAATCACTATTAAGGAAATATTGCACGATTGCATATATTCAAATTTATTTCTTTTACCTGCGCGACACAGGCACTTGTTAATGTAAAAAAAATGACCCAAAATAAAAAAAAAATTGTATTGTTATTATTATACTATGGGTCATTCATGTAAATGTATTACAGAGACAATTTCCTGACAGGTGCTATGAAATTAAAGCAAATGCATCATAAAGATTAATAAAACTGTATTTCTTCTTAACAACCATAATTATTAAATGTAAACTTACCCAAAAAAAGGGTTTCATATGATAAAATCAATAGACAAAAAAAGATAGACAATTCTTTATAAATCAGAAATTGGAAACTGCAAAAAATCTTAAACAATCTTAAATACAATTAACAGATACTGCTAACGATAATATATTTTTATTAATAACATAAATTGTTCAATTAGTTCACTTGGAAAATTGCAAATATACTATTGATGTAAAAGTTAATAAGCACTGATTTAGAAAAAGAAGAGAGATGTCTGACTCAGTTTTATACTGTTAGATCATTCGTCGTTTTGCACTACATTTTTCAATAGTTTTAAAACATAAAGATAGAAATTTAAAGACAGTTCCAATAATGTCTTTTTGTATGTTTTCAACTTTAAGAAGACTGGGGGTCAACAAATTAAGCATAAGATATAACTTATTTTTGCCCCTCTTTTACATGTAATGAAATTCAATTTAGTCTAAAAATGGTAACAACTACCAGACCCTCTTATTACCATGTGCAGGTTTGTCTCCCTTGTGTAATCTAATCTGTGAACACTAAACTTTCGGACAAGTGAATATCTTTATTCCGGACAAGTGCATATATCTGTATTGACCTTTACTTTAAATATTGTGGTATAACATTTTCTTGCATTGGCGTAAATCTCTTTATGGTTTGCAAGGAAAAAAAAAAACTGACTATACTTTTTGAAGTTGTATATTGACATTAACATGTAGATTATATATAAAAATAAAGAAGATATTTCCAGTCTGTAAGATTTTTTTCATTACTTTTTATTAAATAATGACATCATATTAATCAAAATCTATCAGTGCATTCTATAACATACAAGTTTATACAAAATGATGGATCATTATTGATTAGCTGTTTATATGTTCTATAGCACATGTAAAATACGCTAATGTAGATGTTCTTTTATTTTTGTAACTATAAATGTTGAAATATTTCTCTAATTTGGTTTAAGAGTAAACTTTTCTGTGTTGTGGATTGTAAATAATATCCACAATTTATAGTCTTTATCTTGGTACCCGAATCACACTGTCGAATTAGTTACAGGGTTTTTGAAAATGATCTTTGTTTGCTCTGAAATACCGAACACACTTATTATAACATTAATTATGATAGAAATAAATACAAGTCCCATAACGGCATCGTCAATTCTGTTCGCACGTAACTCGTTGGCTTCATCCCCCTCTAGAGTTCCCATAAACAAAATCAACATCCCCACCGTGATCTGTACTACAATGGAGAATATCAGAAAAATCAACACCACATAGTAGTACACCCCCTTGGCCCAATAATGCCTAGGTCACATTTCCCCGGTGGTAATCGTTGGTAATCCGTGATGTTAACGATGCCCTAACATCGGTCCACATCGGCCTAGTAGTCTTTACAGAATCAGTCACATTATCCAACGATGGGTATTCGATGGGTAACCAATGCCTTTTATGATAAAAATGTCGTGGTTGCCGGCCAGACTTTCATAGGCCCAGCGAAGCATTGCTAATCATGAAACGGTGTTCCAGGATAATCGGCCGATGTATATTACATCGCTCATACATTGGTGAACATCGTTTGAACATCGGTTGACTACAGGCCAATGTTTGGTCGAACATCGACCAATGATCGGGCGTTATCTGTTGGACACCAGTCAACCTCCCGATGACTTCAGATTCAAGGGATATTGGACGATGCTCGGCCATACATCGGCCGATCCTTGAAAGATCTGTTAATGGTGGGTTGCCCATGAGGAGCGATGTGAGGCATCTTTGGAGACATGGCTGAATTTTATCTACGAATTTTTTACTACCGATGACCCCACCGATTCGCAAAAAAGACTCAGTCACCATCTGATCACTAGTGGTGCCCGGCCGGCAACCAGGCCATTTTCATCACAAAACGCATCTTTTTCTCATCGTATATCCCATCGCTGGATAATGTGACTGATACTTAAGCCTTTCAGCTGAGAGGCGTTGGCGACCAATAAACCAATATCCAGAAGGCCCTCCGCCACTGTCTTCTTCCGCTCGTGCACGTGAGGGTCACTATTCTGTATAAAACATTTAAAAATATTATGGTATTTTTTGGTCCTTTTTTACAACTTGAGAGCTAATTTTTACAATTGGCTAATCTATTCGTATAAATCATGTGCAAAATGGCATAAACGAAGGATTTTCCTTCTTTGAAATATTTTTTCTCACTCAACGTACTGAACTTACACACAATTTTACAAGATATTCTTTAATGAAAATAAAAGTCGTATTAGATGTTCAGGGGTTTTGAAAAGATATGGTAAAAATATTCAAAAACAATATGCAAAAAATACTAAAAGTGTCCCCTAGAAGTTGTTTCATCCGATTTGTTTTTTTTAAATGTGTACATATATACAGACACCTACAGAGCACTTAGGCACCTCAAGTATTGGAACACTTCAACTCCACGTGGCGTATATGTCCCTAAACTTTTTAGTATATGTAAAGAAGCCAAACCTTTTCTGTAGATTTTTCAACTTCTGCAGGATTCTCGATTTCTTTGTCAGACATTTTCAATATTAATAGATGAAGTAAATTTTCTTAACACTTATATATGAAAAGGATATTATTGTACGTCTTCTGTAAGATTAAAATCTCATTACAATTACGGTAAATTCGTTCAACATATTGTAATGACCTGGGGTAGAAATTAATTAATTAGTTATTTTTTTTATGATTTAATTTTGTCAACATTTATTGGAATATTATCTGCGTGGATTTTATTATGCATGAACGACACTACTACATTTCAGTCCTTTGATTATTTACTCAACGTGGTATTGTCTATTTTTAGCACATTTGGCATACTTGTTGTTTGCATTTATACAGGAAATATTATATTTTATGAATTCATGTGCATACTTTCAGAATCTTTGCATGTTGCTGTATTTTACTTGATTATTTATGAGTCAAATAAGCGCTTGACATAGCCATAATTGCACTCGATTGTTGGAGTCATGGAAGTTGTTTACATCCCGCCGACATCTTATTTGTATCAGCCAGAGTTTCGTATTTGAGCAAGTTGTATTTTGTTATGCAATCCAGTGTTATAATTGCTTGTGAATATCCACAAAACTAATGTTTGAATATGTTTTACTAAGATTTATCGAAGGATTTTTTTGTTAAACGTGATTTTATGGTAGTTACACATTTTTACTATGACAGTGCTATTTGAATATCGTCTGCTATACGATTGCAGTTTTCTATCATGAAATACGCGTTTAATTCACATGGATTGTTTACTTACTTATTATAGACACATCTTTTGTAATCCATATTTATTGGTTATTTTGTCTTTTCTCATTTTAATTCCGTTTTGTAGTTATTATCCTCATTGTACGACAGCCTTGTTTGACACTGTTTGACAGATCTCTGTTTGTACGGCGCCGTACAGCGCTGCGATTGGTTGAGTGACACCGTACAGCTTTTTCATTGGTTAATTTGTATCACATGACTATTTCCGAAGGTTTTAAATATAAGTGCCTCGCCAGTCTCTGGCAGATAAGTTGCACAAGCAACATCGCAGGATCGTAGCCTAAACCTAGGTGAGACAACTGTAAATTATCTCCCCACACACTGGACACCTGATGTTATATTTTTAGAGCTTTTTAATGTCAAATCAACTTTATTTGCCATTTTTATCCTTGAAAGTACGGTTGACAATGTGGGACAAAATGAATATTAATTATCTATATGTATCCAATATAGATGTTTGTTTACCTACTGTTATTTCCTGTTGAATGATCAATTAATAAACCAAATATTAAACTGATACCAAGTCTTGTCCTTACTCAGAAATATGAAGCAAGAAATAAGGAGTGACCTTGAGAAGTATTGTTGTGTTATTATTTTGTATAGCCCCCATTCCAGGATGGCCATCCGTGGGGAGCTTACAATATAATAACAGGAAGTCATAGATGGCGTGAAACATATTGGAGAAATGTTATTGCTATCCTGTAATTTGTTAATTAGGCACGGAAATAAATGAAATTATAATACCAACATAGCTCTGTCGGTAGAGCAACTGAGCAGGGGTCTTGTTGTGCCAATCTTGTCCTTAAGAAGAAAAATGAGCATTTTTTTGTAAAAAAAAAAGTTTT